CCATAAACTTATCCTCTTTATTACTCCACATTCTTTTGTATGATTTTTGTATCGTTGTACTTTTCAATATTTTTTCTCCTTTGGTAGATGATTTTTTTATTTTTATTTTTAGCTAAAAGGGGAAAAAAAATTAAATCTGTAGCTATTTTATTTTTTCCAAATCAAGAATTCATTTATCTATTAACACAAAATTAAAGTAGAGGGGCGCCCGGGCATCTGCCTGCGCCAAACATCTAGTTTCTATATTAAGTATTGTTGAGACTAAATTATTAAGTAGTAAGATTGATGATATTGTGGGGAAATACTGGCAGGGATATAGTTATCTAACTGTGATTGGGCAGAATGCTCGTATTAGAATAAGTATTATGTGGAACCCTTGCTTGTGTACAGTTAATTTGATTCAACAGACCACTTAGTATGCACACTATTGGGTAGAAACACTAAATGGGTCTAGAGGCTTCTATCTTAAAGCAGTCTACGGCTCTAACCTGGAAGAAGAAAGGAACCAGTTGTGGGAGGAATTTATGGCTATTGCTCCTACAGTGAACAAGACATGGATAGCACTCGGAGATTACAGTAATGTGTTGCTAGACTCTGAAAGATTGGGAGGTTGTAAAGTCACAGTTGCAGAAACTCAAGGCTTTCAAAAGTGCTTAGATTAATGTGAGTTGACAGACCTAAAACAACAAGGTAGATTTTTTACATGGTCAAACAGGAAAGAGGGAGAGCATAGACTATACTCCAGAATTGATCGGGCTTTAGTCAATGCCCAATGGCTGATGCAGTTCCCTGATTCTAGTGTCATCACACTACCAGAAGGTGTTTCTGATCACGCACCTATGGTGGTTCAGCTAGAGGATGGTCAATTGCAAAGGCCTAAGCCCTTCAAGTTCTTCAACATGTGGTGCAAATCTGATAACTTCGTGGAGTTGGTAAAGAGCGGCTGGGAGGGAAATGTAAAAGGAACCAGGTTATATCAGCTAGTAGCAAAGTTAAAAAGACTAAAGCCAGTTCTGAAAAAGTTAAATAGAGGAGAGTTTCATGAAATCCGAGAGCAAGAACAGAGTCTTTTAGAGCCGCTGATAAGTGTGCAGGAAGAGTTACAAAGAAATCCTCTGGATGCAGAATTGCATAAAAAAGAAAAAGAGTTGTCTCAACAACACGTTAAAGCCAGCATTGCAGTAGAAAACTTTATGTATTAGAAGGCGAAAGAAAGATGGGTTCAGCTGGGGGACTCCAATTCAGCTTTCTTTCATGCCAGGATGAAAGCCAGAACAATCAGGAACAGAATTTGCTCTATTACTGGAGAGGATGGGGAAATAATCAGTGACTGGGAGATTGTCAGAGACCACTTTCTGGACTTCTTTCAAGCACATCTAGGGTAGAGAAGATCAAGGGTTAAATCATGAGCCACAGTGTACCAAAAAGGGCCAGTATTGAATTGGAAGTAGCAAATCAGTATTCTAAAAGCAGTGATACCAAATGAAATAAAGAAAGTAGTATGGGAAATTCATGATGGCAAAAGTCCCGGGCCTGATGGTTACGGAAGTGGCTTTTTTAAAGGAGCTTGGCAGATCATAGCAAAAGATGTAATTGCAGCCATTATGGAATTCTTTGAGAGGGGACAAATGCTGAAGCAGCTGAATGCCACGACCCTTGCCCTAATTCCGAAAACTGAAGTTCCAGCAACTGCCTCCGAATATAGGCCCATTGCATGTTGCAATGTGGCCTATAAATGTCTTTCCAAAATTATTTGTACAAGGCTGAAAGCTGTTCTCCCTGTTTTGGTCGATGAAAACCAAAGCCCGTTCGTGAGCAAAAGACTTATTCTGCACAACGTGCTGTTAACCCAGGAGCTGATACGCAAATAGGGAAGACGAAATATCAGTGGACGATGCCAACTAAAAATCGACATCAGGAAAGCTTTTGACTCTATTGAATGGTCTTTTTTGCAGGAAATGTTAGAAGCTTACAAATTCCCTGAATCGCTGTCCAGATTGATAATGGAATGCGTGACAACCACTTCATTCTCAGTGAATCTTAACGGGGAAAGCTGTGGCCATTTCAAAGGAATGAGAGGCTTACGACAGGGAGATCCAATGTCTCCCCTCCTCTTCATTCTAGCTATGGAGTATCTTACTCGACTATTGAAAGAAGCAGCTGAGCATAAAAACTTCAAATTTCACCCACAATGCAAGGCGATGAAGCTAACCAATAACTGATTTGCAGATAATCTTATGATCTTCTGTAAAGCAGACGTGTAAACTGTCCAGAAAATTAGAGACGTGCTTAAAAAGTTTTCAGACACTACTGCACTTGTAGCAAACTCAGCAAAATCAGAGCTTTACTGTGGTGGAACATCTGACGCACTAAAAGCTCAACTCAGTCATATTACTGGGTTTAAAGCCGGAAGATTTCCAATGAAGTATTTGGGCGTACCCTTGTCTCCAAGAAAATGGTCGCAAATGGAGTGTGAAACCCTAGTACAAAAGATTGTCGCCAAAATCAACTGCTGGAGCTCAAGACATATCAGTTATGCAGGATGGGTTCAGCTGGTCAATTCAGTCCTTATGGCTGTCAACAACTACTGGGCATCCATGTTCATACTTCCATAGAGCATCATCCAACAAGTCAACAGAATTTGTAGAACTCTTCTCTGGAAAGGAACAACAGACAGAAACAGCCTTGCACTAGTCGGCTGGGAACCGGTGTGCAGACCTAAGAGGGAAGGGGGCCTCAATGTGAGAGATGCCAAACTATGGAATGAAGCCGCACTCATTAAGCAGGTTTGGAATCTGGCCAATAAATAAGACAACTTGTGGGTGAAGTGGGTTCATGGCAACTATATAAAGCAGCAACATTTTTGGGATGTGCAGCCTAAGGAAGACTCTAGCTGGCATTGGAAAAGACTCCTGAAAATCAGGGATAAGGTGAAAAACGAGTTTCAAGCTTGAAATGGAAACATTCTGTAATAGGTAAATATACCATTTCCATTGGATATTACTGGTTACTTGGCACAGGGGAGAAAATGCAAGTAGCAAAGTGCATTTGGTCAAGATATAACATCCCTAAGCACTCCTTTATCCTCTGGCTATATTGGCAAAATCGATTGTTGACAAAGGATAGGTTACATAGAATGGGTATTTTATCAGGAGATCAGAACTGTCATCTGTGTCACAATGGCCAGGAAACTGCGGATCACTTATCATTTATTCTTTGGATGTCAATTTGCCAGAGATTTATTAACAGTTGTAACTAAATGGCTGGGAATATATGGCTTTCCCTTTGTGAACAAGGAATGGAAGACCAGGGTATTGTCAATCTGGAGGAATGCCAAACTGAAACGAGGAATCATGTTTGTTGTTATTGCTGCAATGGTGTATTATATATGGCAGGAAAGAAATTTGAGAATTGTCACTGGCAAGAAAAGGGAAGCAGAAGTGATATTTCAATTAATACGAAAAGAGGTTTGGTGGCGTATACAACACTGCCTAGGGCTGAAGACAACAACAGCACAGGCAAAAATTTTGATGTCTTTTTTCCATGTATAGAAGCAGTAGACATAGTTAACTAACAATGTAGATGAGTCAGTTCGGTTGTAAATATCTGCTTTATTGGCCAATATCAATATATTTACATTTAACAAATAATAATAATAATAATAAAATAGTGCTAACCAAATTTACATAAATGCATCATTGGACTAATTAAATTAGCATATTTTCATGTTTCAAATGATTGTCTAATGTTTATATTATTTTTATGCCAATAAACAAAATAATGATTTCAGGCTAGATCAAGTAAAATTTATGTTTCGTAACTCACCTATGAATTAGAGGAAGTCAAGAAGGAAAGATTTGTCTCTGTAGATTTTTTTAAAAGATTTTTTTGATTTTTGTTTAGAATGATGAACTGTTAAATTTCATGTTTATTTCAACTTGATTTTTTCTTTCTCATTTTCTTTATGTTAATTTTTTTATAATCTATGAAATAAAAGTTAAATTAATTATTGAAATTTAATAATTACACTAGTATCAATATATACAAGTCAGGAAATATAAGAAAAATAATCTTAAAAAATAACAAATAAAAAAATAAAAATAAAATTTAAAAAATTTAAAATGACAAAATTATACCTTAAACCAAATCACATGTGTTGCACATGAAAAATAGATTTTGAAAATAAATAATTATTTTTTTAAAGATCATATAGTATATTTTGATGGTTACGAAAAGTAATAAAGAGAAATAAAATGAAATAGAAAAAATAAAGAAAAAAGGGACCATTTTATTATTTTTATATTTTTAGAGTTATTTTTATAATTTTCTGAAACTATCGAGGTATTTTTGGTTAAAAACTAACGGAAATTGCGCCAATTGGACGGAATTGACAAGAATTTCAAACAGTAATGACAAAATTGACTAATCGAAAATTAATAGGGTAGAATTGACGATGAGCCTAAAGTTTTGAGTATGAACACAATTTTTCCGGCTTTTTTCCCCTCATAACTGACTTTCCAAATTGACCATATACCTTCCATTGAGAAAAAGACATCTATAATAATAATCTATGGAAATAATTTAAAGAGAGAAGAGTCAATCTAAGCTGGATGTAACCAAAAAGAATTTAAGAAAAATTTATAAAGTATGGTGAAAACGTATTGCAATCTGTCTATTCACATCTCACGTCAGGGGTACATTTTGTTTATCCGTTAAAGATTAATCATAGATTTTGAATTAAGTTACTCCATTTCTTTATAAGTTTTTCTTTAACAATTTTTTATTACGTGTATCACTGCTGAACAGAGTTTACTTAGAAAATGAAAAGGATTTTAACCAAAAAAATTTTAAAAAAAAATAAAAATGAAAAGGGTCAAAGATGAGAACAATAATAATGAAAGCATGATGAGTACACTAGGCAATATTGCAATCCAACCAAGACACCATCAAATAGTACCTCTTTTTTTTTTATTTGCAGTATAATAATAATAATAATATAAAATTTCCAGCTTTCCCATGGCCATGTGATTTGCTGTATACTTTGTCTTCCTTCCTGGTTCCTACACCGGACCCCAATTTGGCCCTCTCCTTGCCCTTCCAGCTTTCTTTTTTTCTTTTTGCCCGTTTTTGGTAGTCTCCTTCCTTCTCCTACATCTACGCCGTTGCTTACTCTCCCAAATATTTTGTTTTACTTCTTCTATGCAGGCAACGTTCCAATTTGTAGCAAAATGCACATGGGCCCTTTGCCTTTTTTCACATATTGGTGATCATCATCAAACCCTTTCACGAGTTGTAAGCTTTTGCAAACGTTGTTAATTCAACAAAATAAACTTGGCGATGAGTGAAGTTCTGTATTACTCTCATTAACCATTGAGTTGTAAGGCTTCACATTTTTTTGGCTAAATCATTTTTTTCTTTGATTTTTCGCGTTTGAATGCAAGTGAAACAAAGGGCATTAGTGCTAGCCATTATACATAAAAAGGGTTCTGATAAACCCCAATTTAAAGGATAGAACAATTTCATGTACACTATCAGACAAGATTAAATAAATAAATAAAATTACAAGCAGCAGCCCTAGCTTGCTCGCAGACCCTCTTCATGAGGGTCAAAATACTTACTACAAGTTAAAAATGGGAAAAAGAAAAAAAAATTAAATAAATAAAGAGAAGATAACACAAGGATACTTCCTAAAAACTGCATCCATTGCCTTCTGGTAGTTTGTTGTCATATAATTTATGAAAACAAAACTTAATGTTTTTCTTTTCTTTTCTTTTCTGTTTTTCCTTTGAAAAAAAACTCTTCATTTATCTTTTTGCAGGGATAACACTATACCTATGGTGTCTGCTGTTTCATGTGCAGGAAGAAGGTAGCTTCCTTTGTTTTTGACGGTTAGCAAAGAGTCCAAATGTAAAACAAAACTCCTGCATTGGATAACATGGTGAAAAAACATACCATTAGGCAAACAGGTTGAGAGAATAGAAAGATTAAGAACTATGAATTTCACGTGTAATCCAGTCAGCCCACAAAAACATATATATATATATATATATATATATATATATATATAATACAAAACAGACACCTACCAACAATACATGTTCATCAAGATCATCACAGCCAGCAATAATGTCATTCATATCCCATCCATCCACCCTTTAGAATGATGCATTATTTTATAGGTGTATCATTATTATAACATCCCCATAAGATGCCTTAGCAAACAAACATCACTACCTTTGCAAGATAATCCAATCCATCCATTCCTCATTGTCCTTTTTTATGGAAGATGCGGAGAAGAGAAGAAAGGAGGAAGAAGACACAGAAAGAAGCATTCTTGAATCATCTTTTCTGGCCATATTCAATCTCCAATGACATTTTGACAACAGTACAAAACTGTGATGGCCAAAGATAAGAGGAAGTGTTCCCCAATCTCAATTTTATATACTCTAGTATCTTTAATTAAGAGTACATTGCCTGATTCTGATATCAAGCCATCCGTTCAATTCATGTGCAGCATAGGCTATATAATTCTTTTACTCGAAGAAAATATTCAGCACAAGTCGCTTTTATACAGTTAATTGAGAAATCTACAACTTGTTTTGCAGATATGCATAATTTACTCGCAATAAGTTCGCAACAAAGTTCAATATATTGTGGTCACAGAATGGTTTTGTTGTAGCATTCAGAGGATGTCTATTAAAATTTTCCCGGTGCACTAACAGAACTAATGAATCATCTCTTCAAGACCCTACGAAAATGATCCTTTCGTGTTTAGTCAAGGCTGACCATTTCTAGGATAAGACGATAAGTACCCCCAACTTAACAATTAACATAATGATCAATAATATCATTACTGACATATTCTTTACTCAAAAGATTCAGCAGAAAAGTAGACCAATTCAACATAAATCAAATGCTGGTAATTGCATGCGCGTACTCATGACAAAAGAAATACTCAATAGGAATTTTAAGCAAGAAAATCACCTGTATTAGCAGGGGTAGTCACATTAGTGATTATTCCCTCCAAGTCCTTGTGAAAATATTCGTGAGCCTGTTCCCTGAAAGTCTTTGCAAGGCCTTCTTTGCTCCGACAACCTCCATCTCCACTAATCTCTGCAGATGGCCGTAAGCCCCGGCCGCCAATAAGCGCTTCCGGCAACCTTGACTCCCACCAGCCATTATTGCACTCACCACGGCAATAGGAAATTTCTTGGAGACAAAATCATTACGAGGATCCAACATCTGGACAAGCCTCATCACACTCTTCTCATCCCTCACCAATTCCTTCCGATTTGACCTCACAGCCAACAGTGATACTAATGCATTCGCCGCAACTTCCTGCAATCCATCAGGCTTTGCTGACTCCATTAGCTTCACCAAAGGCCCCATACAACCACTAATTGCTCTCTTATTGTTCTCACTTATTGATAACTTGGCTAATAATGATGCAGAAATATGCTGTAAGATTAAATTTCCATGCTTTATAAGATCAGCAACCTGCACAATAAATGCCGTTGAAGATGATAATATCCTAAACGCTGACTCTGTTCCAGAAAGTGAAAAAATGGCCCGAAGAACATGCTCCATCGTGTCTGAATTAGATAATTCATTCAACAACTGAAGCAATCTATGCAAACCCTTTTCTCGTAGCAGTAAGCTGCGGAGATACTCACTTGAAGAAGCTAGAATAGCAACACAATTAGCTGCCTTTTCCTGGACAGAAGCATCACCTGAAACCAGAAATTGCAACAACATCGGAATTGCCCCTTCTTCAGCTAAAGCAGTCCGAACATCCTCATTGGTAGAAACATTCCTAATCACTCCAATTGCGTGAGATTGAGCAACAACCGAACCAGATTTACAAAGTTCGACAAGAATTGACACGCCCCCATAAGCTGAAACCGCCCAAGCATTCTCAGGATCTGCAGTAATACATTCGAGGGCCAAGGCAGCCTTCTCCTTCAAGGGCATTGATCCTGAATCGATAATTCTCAACAAGGGTCCCAAAGCACCCTCTTCGAAAACGCATTTTCTCGACTGCTCATTAATTGAGGCCAACATAGAGACAGCTAAAACCGCCTGTTCACGGACAAAAGGGTTAACATTATTAACATCCAAAAGCGAGATTAAATAACCCACGTCCCCATCTTTAGACACTAAAACCGCAGCCTTATCATCCTCGGAAAGCAACTGAATCAACGAATCGAGGGCTTTTTTCTTGAACTCCGTCCCGCCGATCTGTAGCCGCGTAAAGAGGTCCTTGACGAACAGAGACAAGTCTTCTTTGGAAGAATTGATACTCGGATGCGAGAGCACAATGGCGGTCGATTGCCGGAGAACGCCGGACCGGAGCAAGAGGTCGAGGTCATGAATTTGCTTGGACAGCCAGCCGGCGCACATATCGAGATCGGATTGCATGAGGAGTTTCCCGGGAGTGAATGAACAATCGCAGCACTGATGGCAGAGGGTCTGGACACGGACTAGGGTGGCGTAGAGATTCGGGAGAAGAGCTAAGACCAACGGATTATCCGACCAATGGGAAGAATCAGATAGCTCGGAAATCATGGATTTCAAAGAAGCCAGCTTTGACCGGAGAACTTGCCATCTAGATGCAAAAGAAGTGATGGACAGGGTAGCCGGAAGGAGCTTGGTTAGCAACTGGGTTATGTCATCCAGGGTTTCGGCCGGTGAAAGGGACGGCGGCGGCGGCGGCTGCTCCAGCGGTGGCGGCATTTGCTTAGCTGTATTTTTTTCCTTTTTCCGGGAAATTTGGTCCAATAATCCCTTTTCTTTATTGGGTTGTGGAGATTTTAATTAATTTGGTGAGGAAAAGGGTTGAGAATGAGGAACCCGGGAAACATGAGGAGGGAAGAAAAAGTAGAGGAGGTGGTGGTGGTGGTCTACTGGGGAGAGATAGCGGTGGAGTGGAATGGAAGGAAAAGGTTGAGCCTTTCTGACAAAATGAAAATGGTGAAAAAAAGATGGAAAAAGAAAGTAGTGAAGTAATTGAGGCTGAACTGGTGGTGGGGTTTTAGGAATTTGGGAATTGGAACTTCCTAATTTTTATTCGGATTTTTATTTTTTTTTTTCCCTCATAAATGTTAATACTCTTAAATAATCTTTTATTTTCTTAAGGATATTCTTGAAAAAAAAATAGATAAAAATCTAAGGAATTGGCGGTGGTTGTTGAAATAATTGACTTTGTTATCTAATCCTTTTTCCAAATGTCAAAGTTTTTTTTAAAAAAATAGTACCTGCATATTATTATGATAAACCTACACTATTACAATGCATTTTGAAATAAGCTAAATTGTGTACATCGGAAACATCAGATCTACGAACTTTAATCAATTCACAGTAATCAAATAAATCAATAAGCGTTAGTAACGATGGCACTATATCTTGTACCTCTAGCAGGATTTGGTGGTCCCGGAGATTAGTGATTAAGAATTCACAATCCGTGTGAACTTTAACTCTAGTTAGACCAAGACCAGAAGCATTTTGGAGAGTCAAAAGGCATGTCATGGTTTTCGTTTGTAGCAGAGATGTAGCTTGGACATTGGCAATGCCAACCTCCAGTAGCATATTAAGATGTGAAACTATTGTCCATGCTCGTGCTGCACACGCAACAATAATCATAATACATACTACATCTCTTTCTTCGATCTTAAAATTTCGGTCCTTGATCAATTTTTATGAGCGGGAAAATAAATGCTCTTTAACAAGCCCTTAACACGCTTTTCACATGAGTGTTACTTGGGCTGATCATATTTATATAAGCCATGGCCAATCTTAATTATTCATACCTCCAACAAAATTATTCTTTAACTAATAGCTAACCCATCTTTAGAAGGATTAAAACCATATTTATAAAATAATTACATCATCGTATCTCAAACACTAAGTTTATTAGCTTGTCATTTATTAATTAATAAATAAAAAAATAAAATTAAATACAATCAGAATAAAAGTAATAGAACTTACAAAAATATTCAGTAAGAGCATAGCTCTTTTCTTCAAATTCAAACGTAGAAAAATCTATCTAATATATAATATGAGAGTTTTTAATTGACACGTGTCACACAATGCCATAATATAGAGACTTCTCCTTTACTTGTCAATTTCGTATTGATCTTTTGACACGTGTCGACTAAAGAAGCTATCTTTCATTAAATTAGGTAAAATGGTTATTTTCACTTATTTTTCATTCACCAATTTCATCTATTTTCCATTTGTGAAAATTGATTAATTAATTAATTACTTAAATTACACATCCGATTATCATTATCGTTACTTTCACTTATTTATGTTTGTCCGATTATCATTAAATCATTCTTTTCCTAAATTAAAAATTGGTAGTCGATATCGGATTGTATGAAATCGCCGAAATCATTCACGATATTGTTACTAATTGATTCATGATTGGCATACTAATTGATTCGTGAGATCGCCGAAATCATTCTTTCTGCATATTCACGATTCGCCGAAATCAATTTTTATTATTTTTGATACTGTGATTGATAAGGACGATTACTGTATTGATGACTTTTCTACTATATAAAACCCTAATACATGCGATCAGACAGTATAAAAGAACCTCAATTAATCTCGGTGTCATCATAAGCCAGCCGCGTTTACTAATTATTATCGTAATCTCGCAGTTCTCTATTGTCTATTGTCAATGGCCGCTAAGGTTAACTCCGTGGATCAACTCGATGCTTCGACTGGATGTGGCTGGAACATTAAGATGAGGATCTTGCGAGTTTGGGACAAGTCTCTCGTCCAAGACGATGATAAAATCGTAGCCGAGGACATCAGTTAATGGGGATTCTTTTTTTCATCAGTTAATATTTGAGCTTCCGTGAACAATGAGCTGCTATGGATATTGTTGTACTCCCTCCGTCCCATAATTATTGTCCAGTTTTACTAAAATGAAATATTTTATTTTTGGTCAAACTTAACTATATTTTACCTTAAACAACCGGATATGCCCCTACATAAGGAATTGTTTAACCACTAAGATTTTATGGATGATGTTTTTTACTAAGGACAAATGTGTAATTTGATCAATAAAAAGCCAAATTGGACAATAATTTTGCGACAAAATTTTTTGGGCAAAGTAGACAATAATTATGAGGCAGAGGGAGTATTTTTTTTCTTTCAGTTCGATAGGTGCAATAATCTTACCTATGGTTCTCTCTCTTTCATCTCCTTCCTTTTGATTTTTCTTTGATTAAATAAGAATACTAAATAATTTACAGATGAAGATCTTTTGCTAGGTTTTTCTTGGGCCGCTGATTTTATCAATTTTTCTTGCAGTTCTTTATGTTTTTGGATTTTTTGATAGTGTAGCAGTGCGCCCTGTGGATTTTCTTATGTTATTGAATTTCATTGGATTAAGGCGTCTCATGGTTTAATTTACTGGATAATTGCCTTGTATAACTATTCTCATGGATCAGTGAGGATTTGGGCAATGATCAAATGTTGTTAATTAGTGATTCAATTGTAACTAATCAACATACAAATATCTTTTGACCAAAATGTAAAATAATTTTTTAATTCCCACAGTTTCAACATTCAAATATCGGAAAAAAATTATAAAATTTTTTCTATTCTTTGTTTTCCTTTTTAAGTTAATTGAAGCCAGTAAAGAAACCATTTTTAATTATTTTGCTAGGTTATCGTATTTTTCTTTTACAGATTAGTTTTTTGGTGTTGTAATTCATTCTTTTCTTAAGTAAATATTACTTTCCCGTCTCATAATTATTGTCTATTTTAAGATTTCACTTCTAGTACAATTTGAATTAGAAATGAAAACTCAAACTGGACAATAATTATGGGATGAAGGGAGTATTTTTTTTCTTATTGATGTTGTAAAAAGAGGTGGAATTAAGGAAAGAAGGGAGAAATTCAAGGACTAATAAGTATGGAGTATTAAAATATTATATTGAGGGTAATATTAATAATTTAAAAAATTTTGCTCTCAACATAAAATTTTAGCTCTCAATTTATCATCTCCCTTGTTTCATGTGGTTAGAAGGGATAATCCATCAATTTATCATCAATTGAGTATCCTTTTACTCAATGGATGGCTTTTTAGGCATGAAAGTGTTGAGACATAATTCATTATTAATAGTATCAAATCTTCTTTTGATGAGTCTAAGAATTACCCAAGATCAAATAACTTCCTTTTGGGATTTTTTTTTTTTTTTTCCTTTCTTTCTTACTACCAAATCCAAATGTAACAAATTGCCTTTTCTAAAACGGTTGTCTTCCAAATCAAAATGTAGTAAATTGCTTTTTTCTAAAACGATTGTCTTTTTTTTTTTTGGATGTTATAAATTTCCCTTTATTACTTTATGTAAATATCCTTTTTATACTATTTTTTAGAGATAGGCAATTTCCTTGATAGCATTTAAATATACTAGGATGATTTTCATCTTTCATACCGTTTATTCTATATGTGAACTCATTTTTCCAGTGTATCATCAAAAGTAATTTTAAATTTTTTGATTGAGAAAATGCAGTGAAAAATAATTCGGCAACCTACATACTTTTGTCATTCTTAATATCTCATTTAATTATTCTCGCCATTTTTTTTTTCTGTATTTTATCCGTCCCTAGACAATAATATACAGCAAATTGAACAATATGATTGTATTTCTAGAAATCTAGAGCAGTCAGGCGGGCTATGTAATGATACCAGACTTCAGGTTGACGAGATGGGAGACCGTATCATTTTGATAGTTATTATAATCAAATCAAATATTGGAAATAAAGTATTCATCCACGCATGGGCATCCAACCTTCCGATACAAAGATGCCGGTTCGATTCAAGAGAAGATAATTTCTTATTTTTGCGTGTTTTGCTACGTCAATCAATAAGAGTACTTGGACATCTAGCCTTCCTACACAAGGATGCCGGTTCGATTCGAGAGAAGACAATTTCTGATTGCAGCGTATCTTATTATGTCGATCAATAAGAGTAAAGATCAATTCGCAAGTGGACCTATTTTTGTCACGTCCGGCTTTTGCCCATAGACAGTTGTATGTTGCCCTTTCGAAGGTGAAATCTAGACAAGGTTTCACGGCAAACATATGCAACAAGGAAAGATAATTTAACAATCTGACAAAAAATGTTTTCAACAAAGAATCTTTTCAGAAGATATAAATGTTCATTATTTTTTCTGATTTTAATTCATTTCATCACTGTATCCCCAGCATTATATATTATATTCTTTTTTTTTTTTTTACAATATTAATGCTGAAAGTTTTCTAATTGTAAAACATTATTACCTGATATTTAAATAAAAATGTTTTGTCAATCCGTGCAACGCACGGGACATAAACTAGTATTTTACAAATGAGGAAAATAGGAGAAAGAAAAAAGAGAATACAAGAATCGATGTTCTCAATTTGAGATTTATAATCCCTTATTTATAGGACTCTTTCTAATTACTGTTACGCATTTCAAAATTCTCTGACACGCCCCAGCTTCAAGGTCTGTCCCAATAACTATTTGGGAATTTGTACTCGTTGTATGAGGAATGGTTAACCTAAATAATTAGTAAACTAGACATATGAGTCTTATAAACTGAGCCTTCGACACACCGATGTGGGATTGAGGCACCAGCTAGCTTCCACATGCTACCTTCCATGGGATCTCTCACTCGACCCTTCTTTGGATCCTTGCATCTTCACAAGTCCCAAGACACACAGCACACACAGTTGGCCCAAGCTCTCCTAGAACAGATGCGTTTCACTTGTATCACACCCTATGAACTCAGAGGTGTCTCTTTCAAAGTCACCTTAGGTTCACATATCAAAACAAATTGGCAATAAGTGGGGTGGTCTTTGGCACTTATAAACAGGTGACAGATTCTTCACGACACCGATGTGGGATTCTTTATCCCAACACCCTCCGTCAAGCCCATTGGGGTTGCACAATACAACATAATTCACCAGATATACTGCTGGGTCAGTCCACAACTCCGGATATACTATCGGATCAGTCAACAAGCCCACACACACGGGTACATACTCCGGATGTACTGCCGGCTCAGCCCACAAGCCCGCACACACGGGTACATAGTTATCACAGGTCTACAAACCGTAGGCTCTGATACCATGTCAAAGTCACCTTGGGCTCCCATCTCAAAACCAATTGGCAACAAGTGGGGTGTTTTTTTGACACTTATAAACATGTGACAGATCCTTCACGACACCGATGTGGGATTCTTTGTCCTAATAGGCTCCGCATTTGTCTCTTAATTGTGAGCTCAGAGGTGGATACGCACCAAGACTAGATAGTCTCTCATACCAATTGTCACGCCCCAACTTCATGGTCTGTCCCAATAACTATTTGGGTGTTCGTTCTCGCTGTACCCAAAATGGTTAATCCAAATTCTATAAATATATATTATAGAAAAGAGGATGAAGTAATGATGTGTTATCCAATTGCCCTCCAATTGATTCATTAACACGTGTCACTTGGTGATTGGTACTGCATTAAACAATTAAAATATATTAATAAAACCATTAATTTATAACTTTACCATGTATTGAGTTAAATTTTAATTGGTGGTTTTCTATTTAAAAATAAGATAACAATATCAAGATGATCCCGATTTTTAAAAATTAATATCAAGACAAAATTTTAACTTAATCTATGTTATAGAATATATAATTATGATCGAACATAATTAAGTTGAATAAGGTATTATTAAATAAGATTAATATCGTTATCATTATTTATGATTTTTTTTTATCCTTTTACAAAATTAAGGTATTCACATTTACGTCTACATTCGTCCAGTTCTTCTCACCGAAATTGATAAACTAATTATCCCACAATTATAAGGGGTAAACACAACTTAAAATATGTGAATATAATCAATTAAAAAGAATCTCTTAATTAAAAGGATCGGTCGTCTGATACTTCTTAAGCCGAAAGCATAACCACTATAAACATATCTCTTTTCCACATAAAAATTACCACATATCTCTCTCGGGGAAAAACATTATTGATTTTACTCTCTCATTTATCTAAAAATATTATACATGCTACAAGCGGGTTATTTTTTATTTTTTTCCTTCAATTCCAGATCTTTAGTTGGAATGGGTAAAAGGATGTAAGAAAAATGTGGGATGATGAAGAAAATTATTTAAAGTAAGATAACTATGTTCGGGTGGGTAATTCACATTAAAAATAAAATAATCTTAGATTTGAGATTGATTTGATCTTTCGAATCTTTAAAATTTAATTTCCTTAAACTAAGTAGCAGCCAAAATTCTTTTAAATTCTGAGTATGCCAATAATGGGCTGTCACAGGTCAGATATTTATTTTACACAATCAAATTTGATATTTTTACTTTTTTTTTTGTAAATCGCGTACAAAGAGATTGATAAACAAGGCATGAGTTTATATAGGTAGCATGAGTTTATGTAGGTAGCATCAGCCTATGGATTTCACCCTGCCCTGGGCTCTTCAGGGGAGCGACATTAGCCCCCGACCAGTTGTGTGCTTATCCGCGCGCTAGTCCCACATGACCATCCCTGCGGGAGGACCCGAGGAACCCATATTAAAATTTTGGATTGATTAGTGATGGTGTTTGATGAGTTTAGATTAAGGTTGAAAATAAAGATAGAATGAGGTCTACCATTTTCTTTTTGTTTGTGTTGTTCAATGAGTTGTAAACAATTTATAAAATTGCAGCCAAAACCGTTGTTGGTTTTGAACCTATCAAAAACTCAGAATCTTTTAAACAGAACAATACATAATGACATATTATAAAAGATGAAAACGAATATAGAATGTAACCCGCTGAAATACGGCCCTTTCACAGTTTAATAAAACTTTTGAAGAATTTTTCTTTGGACAAATAATGCTTGGTTCTTTTTTTTTTTTTTAGCTCAACGGGCTGTCAACAAAATAAAGATGGAAGTTGAAAATGAAGATGGAATGAGATCCGCCGGATCTTTTTCCTTTTCTTTTTTAGCGTGCTGTAAAAAAAATTATAATTGCAACTAAACCCATCGTAGGTTCTTAATCTACTAAAGATTCGAAACTTTTTAAACAAGACGATAGATAATAACATTTTGTTAAAATCATATTTATTCATCAAATTAAATTATAAACACGGATGCACAAGAAACACCTATCCTCCTTCTCTCTACAAACCCTAGGATTATCCGAACATTCCATGGCGGTGGCCTCCCGTCCGCCGGACGAAACTCGGTCACCACCACCTTCTTTCGCGCAAGTTCTCAATGGAACCAAGCCTAGCCCTCGCAGCTTGATTTATCAGGCAGCACAAGAGAAGAAGGAAGCTTCCTTCATCACATCCAAACCCTCACTCTACAAAGGTGAATCACCCTTCTTACTGTCCAAAGAAGAAGATGCTTGCCGCCGCCGGCCCCCTTTCAGCTCTCTCTCATCGAAAAATTTTCTAAAGGACGGCCGAAGATGGACTTCTTATGGCAAAGCTTCTATATGGTTAGATTTAAAGGAAACTATTCTCTCGGGATGATTGATCATAGGCACATTCTTATACACTTCGATCTGGAAGAGGATTTCCATCGATGTTGGATCAAAGGGGTTTGGTCATTTGATCAACATGTAATGCGGGTATTGAAATGGACTCCACAATTTAATCCATCAGAAGAATCGTCAATTGTTCCGGTTTGGGTGGCTTTTGAAGGTCTGCCCTTTTATCATTTTAATGAGGATTATTTGAGAATTTTGGCAAGCGTTATTGGAACTCCACTCAAAATTAATGTTCCGACATTGAACTTATCGCGGCCCTCCATAGCAAGAGTATGTGTCGAAATTGATTTACTACGTGAGTTACCGCAGAGAATTCGACTTGGTACGGAAGAGCATTCATATTTTCAAGCAATCACGTATGAAAATCTGCCTGAGTACTGCTTGGAATGTAGGAAAATTGGACATGCTTCAAGGGATTGTCGACATGGAAAGTCAAAACACTTGCACAATGAAAAGCAGAAAATTCTAGCAAATCACAATGAGAAGAAAGCTCCAGTTGGGTATTCCAATCAGCAGACATGGAAAAGGAAAAGTCCAGCCAAAAATAGATAATGTTGTGGTTGATGGAAACAAAGATTCTTCATCAGGCCTCACTTCGGCGGAGAAGGAAAAGATCTCAATAGACTTAACAGAGAAGTCCACGCCAATCAAACCAGTAGCATCGGCAAATAGGAAGATTTCTAAGCAACAATTAAGTTCAATTATTGAAAAGAATGGCACGGAAGAGAGCAGCTGGGATGATGAAGCCGCCGGAAAAAATTCCAATTTGGCAGAAAATTTGGATAAACAGCTCACTGTCTATGACCCGAAGTTGAATATCTCATCACGTTTTGATGTTCTGGCTGAAACAGCTGATGATCATGTCATAACTAAGGGAAAGGCGAGTGCAGAAACCTTCATTCAAGTTGAAAATCCAGATGATGTTACAGATTCTGAAGATGATGAAATACGAATTGATATCGGGGCTGAGCAACCTGTCACGGATAATTCAGTTCGTGATGATATAGATATTGGCAGACATTCTGAAGGAAGCAGGCACATGGTTATCAGAGCTGTAGAATCCGATGATGAAGGGAAGCAGAAAAGGCCAGGTCGTCCCAAAGGTTCGATTAAAAGCAAGAACTCTCAGACTGCCGGAACTCGGAAATCTTTGAGACTCAATTGCGATTGCTCAACAACTGTTTCCAATGAGTAATCAAATCATATGGAATATTCGTGGTATCGGTAATAAAGTGTCGGTACGTCGCCTAAAGAATTTAATCAAAAAGCATTCTGTCTCATTTGTTATAATATTAGAGCCTATGTTGCCATCTAGTAAATTGGAAGAAATAAAATTCAAGCTGCGGTTCAAGGAGGCTTTCTCATCTTCTACTGGAAAAATCTGGGTGTTTTTCTTGCCTGAATGGACAGTTAGATGGCTGGGAGGTTCAGATCAAGTACTCCATTTTGAGGTAGAAAGTAGAACAACTTTAAAGAAGGTGTTAGTTTCAGCTGTGTATGCAAAGTCATCAAGAACTGAGCGCCAAGCCTTGTGGTCGGATTTGAAGGTTTTCTCGGATTAGTTTGCTGGGATGCCGTGGATGGTTGGGGGGGACTACAATGTACTATGATCCTTGGGCGAGTATGATGGGAATTCATAGCCTGATCAAGGCTCAATGGATGATTTTAATGAATGGATTGATGATAGCGGTCTGATTGAGATTACTCCTCTTGGCAATCCTTTTACTTGGTCTGGAATGAGGCCAAATGGTTGCGTTTTGAAGAGACTTGATAGAATTTTGTTTAATCAGGAATGGATCAATGCTTTTCCGGTTCACTTAAGCAGAGTTTTATCTGACCATGCGCCTTTACTTCACCATTTTCAACTGAATGTGGAAACTCGGCCTAGCATGTTTCGGTTTCAAAAAATGTGGGTTAGAAGGGATGGCTTTCTAGCTATGGTAAAGGAGAATTGGGAGCAACCGATGATAGAGCCAGGGATGTTAGGTTTCTCTTTGAAGCTCCGCCGATTAAAAAAGCGGCTGAAGGAATGGAATAAAGTCGACTTTGGTGATGTTTTCCATAATTTAAATCAAGCAGAGGAAGCTGTTCGAGTGAAAGAGATGGAATATGATCTATCCGGGGCTGATTCCACAAGGATTGAGCTCAATCGTCTTCAAGCAGAACTATTATTGAGACTTCGCGAGCATGATGATTTCTTGCAACAGCGAGCAAGATTAAAATGGCTGCGCGAAGGGGACTCTAATACCAAATACTTCCATGCCTCACTGACAGAAAGGAAAGCTAGATCAGGAATCCATAAAATCAGAGGCCATGATGGCGCTTGGCTTTCTGATAGAACCGGAATTGAACAAGAAGCTGTCTATTTTTTCAAAAACTTGCTTACGGATGATAGAGTACAAAACCGTGAGGATGCAACCAGCAAGGTATAATCTAATATTTCTCAAATTCTAAATTTTGAAGATAATGAGTGTCTATTGCAGCAAATCACACTTGAAGAAGTTAAGGAAGCAGTGTATAGTCTTGATCCAGAAAGTGCGCCAGGAGTTGATGGATTTGGGGGTGGTTTTTATAGGCATTATTGGGACATAATTTATCAGGATTTGTTAGAGGCTTGTATAGAATTCTTGAATGGCATTCCTATACCTAGGGCTATAACCAGCACAGTTATCACCTTGCTTCCCAAAAAAGTGACGGCAACATCTTTTGCAAATTTCCGGCCAATTAGTCTGTGTAATTTCATCAATAAGGTGCTCACAAAAATTCTTACAGAGAGGATGAAGAAGCTACTTCCTAAGTTGATCTCGGAAGAGCATTCAGCCTTTTTAGAAGGTAGGGATATTATAGATAACATTCTTCTAACACAGGATCTTTTACAGTTTCTGGATCACAAAGTGAGAGGGGGAAATTTGATTTTAAAGGTAGACATGATGAAAGCTTTCGACCGAGTTTCATGGAGTTTTTTGCAGCAAATCTTGTTGAAATTTGGTTTTTATCCCAATTTTGTTAATTTGGTGATGGGTAACTTACATCGAAGCTGGTTCTCAATTCTTATTAATGGAAGTCCGGTTGGCTATTTTCAAGCAACGCGAGGGATCAAGCAAGGCGATCCTCTTTCACCCTATCTCTTCATCTTGTTGTCTGAGGCCTTAACACAAAATATGAAGAAATTCACAGAAGGTGGGAGGATAGAATTGTATGGAATGCCCGCCAGAACAGTCATCCCGTCTCATTTATGTTTCGCGGATGATCTCATCATCTTCACGAAAGGCTTAAAAAGCTCTATACATCAACTAATGATATTTTTTCAGGACTATGAAGATGCAATAGGGCAAAAAATGAACAAGCAGAAGAGCACTTACCTGGTATCGGAAAAAAGTGGGGTGGATCATATTTCATTAGTTGAAAATACCCTGCAAATGCAACGAGGCGTATTCCCCTTCAAGTACTTGGGGTGTAACTTATTTAAAGGTCGGAAGAAGGTGGAGTATTTCACTCATATCATTGAAGCCATAGATGCCAAATTGTTGAACTGGAAGAACAAGTTTTTATCTCAAGCGGGAAAGTTGTTGCTTATCAAACATGTTCTCGCTGTGATCCCACTTCACACTATAGCTGCTACCGTTCCCCCTAAATCAATTATTGAGACTATTGAAAGAAAATGCCAGCAATTTCTTTGGGAAGAAACAGAAGAAGGGAGTAAACGCCATTGGAGGGCTTGGAGGAATTTAACTTTTCCAATAACGAAAAATGGGCTAGGTTTTCGAAGGTTGGAGGATGTTATCCAAGCTTACTCTATGAAACTCTGGTGGAAAATAAAGACACATCAAGGTCTCTGGACACGTTTATTTGCTCTCTTTCAGCTACATCAAGGGAGAGGACATGCTGGTCTCGAGTCTCTAAGATTGATCATCTAGCGGCCTCCAAGACAAAAATGGTTATAGGCGACGGCTCGTCTTCTTTTTGGCATGATCATTGGCTAGATCGGGTATACTTTGGAAGGAATCAGGCGCACCCCCAACTTCAGATTTAACTGTGAAGGATTATTTTTCTTCCAAAGAATTTTTCTTGATTGTTCTTGCAGGTCTTCTGGAGGAGCAACAAATGGACCAGCTGCATAACCGGCCTCCAAGACAAAAATGGTTATAGGCGACGGCTCGTCTTCTTTTTGGCATGATCATTGGCTAGACTCGGGTATACTTTGGAAGGAATCAGGCGCACCCCCAGCTTCAGATTTAACTGTGAAGGATTATTTTTCTTCCAAAGAATTTTTCTTGATTGTTTTTGCAGGTCTTCTGGAGGAGCAACAAATGGACCAGCTGCATAACTTGGAGCTATCTTTTGTGGACGAACCAGATAAGATAGTGTGGACGCCGACAACAACTGGAATCTTTTCCATTGCCTCAGCTTATGAGGAAGCTCGACATCATAGAGAAGAATTTCTTCCCGTTAAAACTCTTTGGAATAAATTTATTCCTTTAAAGATTTCTTTCTTTCTTTGGAAACTTTTTAATCTGTTACTTCCTTTGCCTGACATTTTGCAGAAAATGTGATTAGTCATGCAACCTTCAAGATGTCCTTTTTGTCATGCAAATGAGGAAATGATTGACCATATTTTTTATGCATGTCAAAAAATAAGATTGCTTTGGAACCACTTTGCCTCTATTTTTGGAATTATGATTCCGGGAAATGCAGGATGGTGGAATAGCTTGCGGATTTGGCAATTGATGGGAAGCTTTACCACATCAAAGAATTCAGTCATCATGGTTACTCCTATTTTTCTCTTATGGGAAACATAGAAGTTGCGGAATAGAATCATTTATGATGGTATGAATTTCTCTATGAATTTTTTGATAAAAGAAATCATGACTAACATTTCCAATATGTTGAGTGTGCATGGTTTAAAGGCAAGAACTTTGGAAGAACAAAAAGAGCTAGAGGATTTATTTCAAGTGAAGGTCTTGAAGCCAAAGAGTAAACGGATACAGCTGCTTAAATGGAAACCTCCGCTTCCAGGGGAGGTCACTCTCAATACAGATGGGTCCGCACTAGGGCAACCTGGCAATGCTGGATGGGGATATGTAATCAGAGGAGAACAAGGAGCTTTCATAGTTGCGAGGTGTAGCTTCATTGGTATTGCTACAAGTTTTGAAGCAGAACTAGAAGGAATCCACAACGGTCTCAAAGCTTGTGAATAACAGGGACTATACCATGTGGTAGTCCAAATAGATAATGCTAGCATTATCTCCTTATTACAGCGAGGAAAGGATTTCCCTTGGAAGCATTACATGCTTTTGAAAAAAGTTCAGCAACAATTGCTTCTTACGAGCTCAAAAATCATGCATATCTATCGTGAGGTAAATAGTGTGGCGGACGAGTTTGCCAAAAAAGCGTCAATGGGAAGTACTTTACACTATCCTTCCTATGAAGATCTCCCAACAACCTTGCGAGGAAAGGTATATTTAGATAGGAACTGCTTCCCTTCAGGGTTAGATAGGTTTATAGTTTACAGTGAATTGAAACAGAGACGTCATGTTAATGTGTAAATCTTTGTAAGACATTCTCTTAATTTGATTTTTATTTCAAAACTTATGAAAACTGTCTGGGGATAGTTAGGACTATCTTTGTAAGACAGTCTGTAGAATACTTTGCTTGAGAACCGTCATGGGGTTTTTTAGGAAAACCATCTGTAAGACGATCATTTTTGATTTGGGTAAGTCTTAAGTACTGCCTCTTGTAATTTTTTCTGAAAATTAATAAAATCGGGGGAATGCCCGCCAGGTACCGCCCTGGTTCACCAAAAAAAAAACATGTTGTTAAAGATGAAAATGAAGATAGAGTAAGACCCGCCAGACGACTTATTCTTAATTAGATTACACTTTTGAAAAAATTCATTTTGAACAAGTAGCATTTGGTTTCTTTTTCATGTGTGTGTGTTAATGAGCTGTCAAAAATGAAGATGGAAATATGAAAATGAAGACGGAATCAAATTTGCTGCTTCCTCTTCTTTTATTTTTGTTCAACAGGCTGTCAAAAAATTGCTTAGATAGCAACAAACCATCACAAGTTTATAACCTACCAACGATTTGGAACCTTTTTAAGTAAAATGATTTCGAGTGTAATGCTGTTAAAGATGAAAATAAAAATAAAATGAAATCCATCAAAGACGGCCTTTCATAATTAGTGGGAATGGTG